CTTGGTCACCTTAGGATGTTAGGAAACAAGGTCATTATCTTAAGCTAGAACATTTATCCTGCATTTTCTATACAAAGCATATGTCAAGTAACTAATCTGGTGAGGGAAACTGCTGTTATAAAGCAGCCCAACTAATAAATAATGAATGCTGGAATTAGAACATCACCATTTGCAACCCTTAATGAGTTAACGGATCTAAGCAATAATCATGAATGGCTGCTAACATCACAAAAAAGAATGATAACCAAACATTATGTGCCTCTTGATAGAAATATCCAGAATCACCTATTGAAGTATTCTTGCCCCAAAAAACAAACCTGAATCTGATCAACCCTCCAGATCTAACTACCAGTTTATAGAAAGCTCAGGGAGGAACATACCAAACAATACCACAGGATTACAATTAGGAAAAAAAGAAACAAACAAAAAACAGATACGAATACTACAGGACAAACAACCTTGCTTCGTCAACAAAAATGTATGAGGAAAAAAAGAGAAAAGAATGAGAATCCTTGTTTTCAAAAGTCTTTAGAGATGTTAAACATTTTAAAATATAAACCTTATTTGAATCCGACCCACAGAAACTATAAAATTTTTTAAAAATTGTGGAAATTTAAGCTTTAATTGTTTATTTTAGGATATTAAGAAATTATTATCAGTTTATTGTGATAACAGAAATGTGGTTATGTTTATTAAGAGTCCTTACCTTTTTTTCAATTAAGCTTTTTGAGATAACAATAGATTCCATACACAATTGTAAGAAATAATACAAAAAGATTATTCATACCCTTCAGCAGCTCCCCAATGATAACACCTTGCAAAACTATAGTACAATATCACAACCAATATACTAACATTGATAGGTCAGACACAGGACATTTCTATTGCTACAATGTTCCCTCTCATGTTGCCTGGTATAGCCACACTCTCTTCCTTCCCACCTACACCTCTTCTCTAACACAAATCCCCTCTCTAATTTCAAAAATGTTAGATTAAGTGGAATCATGTATTATGCAACCTTTTAGGATTGGCTTTTGGAATTCAGAATAATTTTCTGGACACTCATCCAGGTTGTTCAGCATACCAGTAGTTGGTTCCTTTGTGCTACTGGATAGGATTCCCTAGTAAGGACGCACAACTTCATTTAATCTCCATGGTCTGAAGGACATCAGAGTTATTTCCATTGGGCTATTATGGATAAAGCTGCTATAAACATTAGGTATAAAGTCCTTGTCTTTTAAAGATACATACTTCAATTTGTATGGATGAGATATAATGTTTAAGATTTGCTTCCTAAATATTCCAGATTGGGTGAGATACTTTATATATATATATATGATATGAGATTGGTCATTAGCTTGTGTGTATATATATATATATATGAGATTGGTCATTAGCTTGTAAATGCTTTATACTACTAATCTACTTTTGGATATGTTTATAATTTTTCATAATATAAGGTTTAAAAATAAGAAGATGGTAAGAAACAATTACTTATCCGACCACTTCCACATAAACACACACATCTTCAAGTAAAATTGAAAGTATGCTTTGTTATGACTTTTAATCTGTGCCAAGATCACAGGAGTTCTTTATCTAAGACATGGAGCCTGCACATGCAAGTAATCATTTTTGTAACATTCACTGTACCAATATGGGCAGATGCAACCTAGGCATCTGTTAACTTTCTTTCAGAAGTTCTTTATTAGGCTACAGGGTTGAGATAATAGGTAATTCATAATGTTGGACAAAAGCAGGTAAGTAATCACCATAATCAAATGTATGAGATTCATTAGTGGCTTGTCGTCAAAAGAGAGGGTTCATGTCTGACATGAACAGGTCCTTATCATCAAGACAAACGCTGAGAGAACAGAAGTGTGATTACTAAAGATGAAGAGCAACAAGCTATATGAGCACAATCAAGCCTGAAGATGAAGTGAAACGCATTTTCTATTGCGCGGAGGCTGCTTTTGTTTTTGAGCCTCTCTGAAGGACAGGATATTATTATCACGTTCAGTCTGCAAGCTAATGGTTCTTTACTATAATTCTGCAAAACACTATCTACTGTTTGGTGCCACCGATAGTCTATCAGCCCATTCTCCCCCAGTGCTATATCACAACCTCCCTTTCTCCCAGCTGAGGACACTCAGTGTTTCTCTCCACATGTGGTTTTACAAAAACAAAGATCCACTCTCTCAAAGATCTTAGGCAAAGAAGAGCATGTAAATACCAATCCATTAGCTAATCTAGGAATAAAAGCCAAGACCACCAAAGGAGACATTCACGATGACTTTCGAGTGCCAACTAATACAAGAGTGACAAGTGAGTTTCCCTGGCTAGGTCTTTAATGCCCACACATGCACTGCAAAGAGCAATTCTAAAGCTGCCACAAAGTTTGTTGTCAAAGGTGGGATAGCTGTCCACAGACCAATCCACATAAGACAAATCCCAAAGGAAGACCTAAATGTTCCAGTTGTGTTGCAGTTTGGATATATCAACCATCTCTCCCATTAAGTGAGCCCTCACACTTGGGTCTTAGAAATAATAATGCTTATTGTGACTGGATTTGATCATTACTACTATACTATGACAGGAGGAGTAGATGGTCCATTAACAGGCTGTCTACATGGCACTTAAGTGACTACAGATTAAAAGATATTAGTCAATTCAGTTACAATCAATGTACAGATTGGTTTATTTGGTCGGTTTAGCAGCTTGGAGTTCTATCAGCAGAAATCTCTTTGCAACATCATATTAGGAAACTAAGAAAATGCAGTTGAGTTCAAAGTCTTGTTCATATGTCACAAGTCAGAACAGAGACACATAGAATTAAAACCCAAAATGACATAGATCGCCAGGAATTGTGCTATAGGCTTGCACTGAGATTGATAACACTGACAGAAAAAGGGAAAGGATAAGAAATGGGCTCAAGAACATAATGTAAAATGTAAATGAAAAGAAGCAGAGAAAAAAGGCACTAAAGGTAAATGCAGATGTACTTTTGGATGTTTTGCCATCTATCTTTTGCCTCTAACCTTTGCCATCTTCCTTGACTCTTCCAACCAAACGTTTTCTGGGTCCTGTGGATTCTGACACCACAGATACAATCTGAGACAGCCTGTGGTCACAGGCAAGACACTGGAAGTTGAAGCTCTTAGCACTCACCTTGATGCTTAAAGTTTATCTAAAATGCTTCGCATAAAATGAAATGTTCCTGCCAAAAATCTCTATGATGCATTTGCTTATGTATCTTATTCTTCTTCTTCAGAGAAAACACCCATGCCTGGGTCTACAGAACTGGAATTTCAGAGGGGACCATTTTTGTGAGCTGAAGTGGTTTCAATAAAGGAACATGAGAGAACAAAAGGAAATAGAAAGATACAACAAAGGCAACAGGGAAGACAAGGCTGGAAAGACTTCCAAGAACAAACTGCACAGGATGGCTTCTGGGAAACGAATAGCCATGTTTGGCAGGAGCTGAGACTGTGTACAGCGGGGTCAAAGATAAGCTTGAAAGGATAGGCTGGAGCCAGGGAGTGGCAGCCACTGGAGCCCAGGTGAGGCATTTAGACCACATGCCATAGGCCTTTGGACCACTACTGCAGGTTTGTGCATAGGCAAGATACACACATCATGGTTAGGAGGATGTGATTAATGATAGGGCAGGGAGGAAGGAGGAGAAGACTGAGGTTTGAGGCCCAACTAACTATTCCAGGTGAGGCTAGAGGACTTGATCTAAGAGGGCAATAGTGGGAAAGGAGAGGAAAGGATTAACTTGAGGGGCTGTGTGAAATATGCATGTACTTAAACTTAGTTTTGTCCTCAATTAAAACCTAGAAAATGGTCATTTACAGCTACTGTCAAAGAACTACTTACAAGATGCTAAGGATTCTTACGTTGATTGGGAGGTAAACTGTCATTATTATGATCAAACACATAAGAGGGCATAAAAATTCTAATGGCTGATAAAATCATTTTTAAAGGAAGCTTTGATTAAGCTTAACAGAGCCTGGGAAAAAATAAGATTTTTGACATAAGTAAAAATTATTTTTAAGGAGACCATGATTGGTTGCAAGGTGATGAGTATTTTTAAATTTCTAAAATAATTAACTGCTGATTTTAGCAAGGCACTAATAATGACTTATATGATTGACAGATCTATTTTTCCCTACTTTTGCAATTCTACTTTTTATATGTACTTTTGCAGATGTATTTTCTCTACTTTTTTCAGATCCCTATTGCAAACCTCTTATTAATCAAAAGTTTATTTTTTTTGCAAATGTACCTATTAGCAAAACTCTGAAGCACTGTAGGTGACACAAGCTAAATCATGTACTTCTTAGTGAATATGCCAACTTAGTTACTACTCTCATTTACTTAATACATTTTTATTGAGCATTCACTATATGATAAGTACTGTGCCAATGCTGGGTGTACAATAAAGAGAGAAAAAGAGGTGCCTGGGTGGCACAGCTGGTTAAGTATCCGACTCTTGATTTCCGCTCAGGTCATGATCTCAGGGTTGTGATACCAAGCTCAGAGCAGAGTCTGCCTGAGAATCTCTCCATGCCCCCTGCCACCAACTCATGCTCTCTTTCTCTCTCTCTCTCTCTCTCTCTAAAATAAATAAATAAATCTTTAAAAACAGAGAGAGAGAAAAAAAAAGAGAGAGAGAGAGAAAAAAAAAAACAAGGTTCTGCCCACATGGGAATGCACAGTACAATGACAAAGAAATACATTAATTAAAAAAAACTGTCCAAATATATAATTGAAAATTTTGATAAGCACTATAAAGGAAAACTACAGGTTGCTTTGAGAGCTTGTAACAGGGAAAAGAAACCATCTCTGGGTCTGAGAAAGTATCTTAAAGGAAACTGTCTTTGAACTGAAATCTGTAAGGATGTAGCGGAATGAAATAGGAAAGGGTAGAGGAGAGAACTAGAAGAAAAGATGAGCAGAGGGAAGGAATCACATATAATAAAATAAAAGTACTCTCTAACCTGTTGGGTAATGGTGTCCCATGGCTCCTGCAGCAGCTGTGACTTGTAACACTCATGGATTCCTTCCCATATGTCCTTCAGAGCTAAAGGTCTTCCATCTGCAAAAGTGGATGGCAAAGACCATCAGTCAGTAGTCTATTTGACACAATGGTGCTTGGTGTTTATCTAAAACTCCTAGAAGAATACCATGATTTTTTTTTTAATCTTTGCTAGTGGTACACATATTACTTATATATCAAAAGAGTGCTATATGAATTACTATTTTCTTCCTGAGGGAAATTTAAACATTCAAGCTTCTCTCCTTTGTAATCGTCTAGCAGTTAAATTATCTGCTCATTCATTGCCTGTAGGAATTCTGCAAAATAAATAAAATCCAAATGTACTTTAGAGAGAACTGATAGATACAAGCACAGGCAAAGGACCAGGTGGATGGATTCCCATATTCACAAGGGTGCACTACGAATACCTCTGAAATCTTAATAATTCTTCTAGTTCTTAAATCAAAGACTGTGCGTACACACGCTTCTTTCACTCTCTCATTGACTAACTATCTGTAATGTTCAAATCATTCAGCTGAGTACTATGGGGAATAGAGAAAAGGAAAGCACACTGTTTCTCCTAGTAAGAAGCCTACCATCTACTAGGGAAACTGTGACAAGTGTATCAATAGAATACTAATACCAAAATACTAGATAGAAAGTCATTGTTGACAAGAGGAAAACTGCAGTTCTCTGTCAGTCCAGAGGAAGGAGACATTAACATCCACTGTTTGTGGCAGGTGGAGCAAGGGAATTGTGAAAGGTGAGGGGACATGAGAAGGAATTGGCATGAAGACATTAGGAAAACATACAGCGAACAATAATTCACTTTTTCCTTCTTTAAGCAATTCAACAATTAACCTATAACAATCACAACAATTCACCTATATTCATAGCAATCCAAATAGTGTATTTTATGAAGACCACTATGGCACAAGTAGAGAAATAGACATCTAATATTGTAAAATAAAGTACAAAGAAGAAATTACCGAAAGACTTTGAAACCCCTGGACAGAAGATGGTCTTACTACTAGAATTTAATGCTACTTGGCCCTTCAGAGCTATTAAGTGCTCAGAGCTTAGGGGGGTGCTCCCTTAGGCAAGTGGACAATAGCATTTAAAGAAAGCTCATCAAGGGGGAACATGGGTGGCTCAGTCAGCTGAGCACCTGCCTTTGGCTCAGGTCATGATACCAGGGTTCTGGGATGGAGTCCCACATCAGGGAGCCTGAATCTCCCTCTCCCAAACCCAACCACTCCCAGCTCCCACTCATGCTGGCTCTCTCTCTCTCTCTCAAATAAATAAATAAAATCTTAAAAAAAAAACAAAACTACAGTACTCTCACTCCTGAGAACTGAAAGAAAGAAAGAAAGAAAGAAAGAAAGAAAGAAAGAAAGAAAGAAAGAAAGCAAGCAAGCAAGCTAGCTCATCAATATATCAAATCATTAGACCCAAAGAAGTATTTGGTCATCAGGTACAATAAAACTTGGGGAAATAATGTACCCCAACCCCTCCCCCCATCACCAAGCAAAAGGTATTGTACTCAGATTCATGGAATTTAAGTAAAGATGTGGACTGTAGAAGAGCACTGGACTTGGAGCCTGGGCTGAGTTTGAATTCTGATGTCGGCACTTACTCTCTGTGACTGCAAGTTATTTGGCTTTCAAGTTTACCTATAAATGAGTATAATTATCCTTCTCAAATCCTGTGCATGTGAATGGGCTTGCATCAGTGCACTCACCCAAAACTGCCAAGGACACAGTCTGAGCTTAATACCTAGTAGGTATCTCTTCCCAGGCCCCACTGCACCACTCCAGTACTTCTCATATTATAAAGCTAAAGGATTCACTTATAGACCACTATTTCTTGGAATTTTCTCATGTTTCTACACCAGGCACATTGTGTTTGATGATATACTAATACTAGAGGCAGGGCATTTCTCATGTTTGACCTGAAAAGCTGAACTTTTCCTCAACCTTTATTTTTAATAAATAGCAATTGAATATTTTGATACATTTTCAATAAGTATTTTCATCTTGGCATTTATCTGGCGGCAGGAGACCATTATCTTGTGATAAATAGTTTTATTCCATTGACATTTCCATGTCTGTAAAATGAACAAGATTTATTCATCCAATTAACATTTGAATGTCATGTTTAGGTACAAGTTAAAACCAAGCTGCCTTCAGTATCTGTGTTATATTGTTTTCTGTACACATTTACAGAGCAGGGCCAAACTTTGTCCTTAAGATAAGCTCTACATATCTTAAAAATATGCGCACGCATGTGTGTGTGTCTGTGTGTGTGTGTGTGTGTACGCGCTGATGTTGGAAGAGGGGAATAGGATCTTAGGTACTTTAATGTCAGATGGTAAACCAAATAATCCAATTATAAAAAGATGACATGCTTTCGAAATAATTTTCAGACATCGATGTTAACAAGAAATCAAGTTGTAGGATAATAAAATGTTTGAGCTGGTATAATTAAGGCAACCAAGGTCTTGAGAAACATATATCAGCCAAAATCATGCAGCCAATTCATGACTGCACTAGAGCTGGACTTGAAGTTTCAGTGTCCTTTCTGCCATTCCCTACAGCCTCTGAGCGCGGAGACTGCACCTGTCCTTTCATCACTGCAGCCGTACAGTGTAGTTCCAAGCCCCACTCATACATTGCAAATGTTTTATAAATATTTACTGAACAAATGATAAATGAAAGGATGCCCTCCTTAACTTTATTTCCTCTAAGACCAAGAAAGGCTCTGAAGACTTAGAGAAGAATGCTGGGTTTAATATCTGGCCATCAATAATGATTTTAATTTTACTCCTTAAAATATTTCAGCCTACAATCTAAGGGTGGAGTAAGTAAGGGGTTCAGATATTACCACTGTCAAAACCCTGCATACTCTGCTGGAACCATTTATACAAAATGCAATAATCAGCAACTAACAACAATGTGGAAAGACCCAGAACAAATGCAACAGAGTATTTCATCAGATTTGATGCTAGAATTGAGGGTGTGTGACGTGTTTTCAGATAATCTCAAATTTACAAGATGTAAGTTAACATCTTACAATACAGGAATTAAAACAATGATCTGGTCAACTTAGAATAACAGATAATTACAGAGTTAAAAATATTAAGTTCAAACATAAAAAGATGCATCATGGTCCTACATGCATTTTTGTAAGAGTGCTACCCACTTGCTAGAAAGAGAAGAGTGTTTTCTAAGTGAATAGATGTGACTGCATTCTCTAATGCATTTACAGACTGTTTGAAAATGCATGTATTAAAAAAAGAAAATGCATGTGTTAATGATGATCAAACAAGTCCTGTGCAAGCTACTCTGATAAGAGTGCCAATCTCTCCAGCTTCCGCTGACCATCCACACTGGAGATGATCTGGCTAATAGAGCTTCTTCTCTCACATACAGATATGACAATAACGACTGTGATGTGGCTTCTTTTCTCTACATCTTTACATTGACTTGCCCAGTCACAGTTGATGCCTTACAATCAAAGACATTCAAAAGCTAGTTTCATGATCTTTTATGCTAAAACAAAAAATTTTGACCTAATCAGCAATATCTCCAAAACCGTATCATACACTATCGATGCATAAAATGTATTCAAAATATGATTGTGATTCTAATTATTTCAAAACCAAATGGAACCTTCAGAAATTCCACTGAAACCATTAAACGGAGATCATCAAATATATTTAAAAAATCACGCCATAAAAGTAGAGATTAAATATTGCAGAAACTTGAAGAACTTTGTGATTTTAAATCTATTTATGAAAACCAAAGACCCAAAACTTCAACTTAAAATTAAGTTGTGGACATAAACAAATACTTGGTTAAGCTCATGAAACACATTATTATGTGCCTTCATGTTCAGTTGAAGGTATCTTCAATCAGAAACTTTAAACCTTGCCAAGAGGGTCTATTTTTTTTCTGTCTGGCCTTAGTCAGAGGTGACATAAGCATACTCAATCAACAACTCTCTAGTTTTAAACCCAAGATATTCGATAGCACCAATTTTAACATGCTTAGAAATTTCATTAATCACACTGAGGCTGAGAAGCTCAGTAAAATCCCCTGCCTACTTGAAAAATTGAAGCAGGAGCTGAAATAATTTCAGCAGCAACCCACAAAGTAAGTATGGTAAATTAAGCCCATTCATTTAATAAGTGTTTATTGAATGCCTACTGTGTGCCTCTATCTTCAGGAATGATAACACACATTTGAACTAAAGGAATATTCTGTCAGCGACCTAGTCTGTCAACGTTAAAAGAAGAAGAGACATTGGATGAAAAATAGAATAATTAAAAAGTACAATCTTTAGCAACTGCCAGTGCATTTAATTTAACAATTTTCATATAAAATCTCTCAATTGAATAATAACCTACATGTCAAGTAATCTATATATTACTCAAAATGTGTAGCTCTCTAAATTAAATTTCTCAAGGCTATTAGTTTTCATGAATCAAATAACAGCGAGAGATTTCACTGGTACCACCTAACTCTAGGGCAGGCATGCTGAAGTCACCTTTATCCTACTGTGCATGGTCCTAAAATGAAGATTATAGAGAATATATCTTATCTACGGTAAGTTTAAAAATAACGTTCTGAATGTGGTCACTAGAAATAAAAAGGAAAGGGTGGATTATTCACAGTGCAATATGTCGTTATTCAATATACTGTCTTCAAGAGAGGATGGATATAAAATTGAAGGATATAAAAATTCATGTCATACTCCACAGTAAGGCAGAGATGATGCTCCACCAAAGGGGAAAATTCATTTTGCTTCAGTGAGAAAATTACATTGTGGCACGAAATGAGTGTTAATTGTTCATGTACATTCATATCAGATACTATGCTGCCTAATTCTGTAATTTTTATTTATGCCTACATACATTTTTAGCACTTTATATCTTTATTAATCTCAGGAAATCTGAATGAAAATTCCAAAAATACAGATTATGGCAACTTTTCTGTACTTACATATGACATCAGTTAACTTGTACGTTTTCTGAATTTCTGGTTACTATATCATGCAGT